CTTTCTGCAGCTGTTTCTTTATTTCAGAAGCTGTTGATTCATTGCTTTCAGCTGTGTGATTTCCAGTTTTTTTCTGTTTTAGTGTCCTCTGCACTTGTTACGGGTGGGCTTGGGTTCTGAGGTTGCATTTTGTTCCTTCTCTTCATTTTGTGTAGCACTGTCTTCTGACCTTTGTTAAAGATCTTTGTTATAGTTATAACCTTCGCACGTACTGAAGTTCAGGTGCAGCTCTACAAAGTTTGGATATATCCAGCTGTGCCTGGCTTGGGTCTGGCTGATGTGCTCAGCTCCTTCCCGCTGCTGCCTTTGAGGGTGAACCTGTTGTGCCCCCGTGGCAAGATGTTCTGCTCCTGGACTAGCTAGGTGGATCTATCCTCTACATTCTCTGCAGGGATTGCAGCTGCAGGATTACACCTCAGGCATGTGTGCCAGGCCTGAGCTGTCCCTGGTGGGGGCAAGGTGGTGTCGGGGGGAGAGGAAGCTCTCCCTCACACTCACTGGGTCTGGGCTAGGACTGGGTCTTGGGGTTCCCAGAATGCAGCAGAAATTCCTACTCATCGGTCGAGTTGTGGGAGGTGCTGCGGAGTGTTTGGGGCGCATCCCAAGTGGGTGGGAGAGGGTCCTGCCCACACCGCGCCTGTGCTGGGACCCGTAGTTGGTCTGGCCAGCGCAGGGTAGCAGGAAGCTCTCCCACACATTCACCAGACCTGGGCTAGGACTGGGTCTGGGGGTTCCCTGAATGCGGCAGAAATTTCTACTCGGCATGTGGGGTTGGGGGAGGTGCTGCGGAGTGGTGGGGGGCATCCCAAGGGGGTGGGAGAGGGTCTGGCCCACACTGTGCCTAGGCTAGGACTTGTCCCACTGGCACAGCGCAGCAGGAAGCTCTTCCACACACTCACCGGACATGGGCTAGGACTGGGTCTGGGGGTTCCTGGAAGGCGGCAGAAATTCTTACTCGGCGGGCGGGGTGGGGGAAGTGCTGCCCTCTATATCTCTTTGACTCTGCTTCATGTGATCTATTTCTTTCCTGTAATGCTCATTCAAGGAATCCGTCATTTTTCTAATGTCTTCTATTTTTTTTTTTATCATTGTCTTCTTTAGAAGCAGTCATAAATTCTTTTAATGCAGTGTTATTTTCAGAATGGGTGTCTTCCCTATGTTTCTGTAGTTGCTCCTTTACTTCAGATGGTATGAGTTCTGAGATTTCTTTTCTTATTTCAGAAAAGAATTGTGCTCTGAGTTCCTCTATAACTTTCTGCTGTTGCTTATTTACTATCGATGCTATTAATTCATGCATTTGAGCTGAACTAGTGTCTTCTGCACTTCTTCTGGGTGGGCATTGGGCTTCCTCCATATGTTTCTGCATTTGATTCTTTACTGCAGATGTTATTAATTCAGGGATTTCTTTTTTTATTCTCAATCTGAGATCCTCTATACCTTTCTGCAGTTGTTTCTTTATTTCAGAAGCCATTGATTCATTGCTTTCAGCTGTGTGATTCCCAATTTGTTCTGTGTTAGTGTCCTCTGCCCTTGTTATGGGTGGGCTTGGGTTCTGATATTGCATTTTGTTCTTTCTCGTCATTTTGTGTAGCACTGTCTTTTGACCTTTGTTGTAGATCTTTGTTGCAGTTATAACCTTAGCACATACTGATGTTCACATTCAAATATACAAAGTTTGGATATATCCAGCTGTGCCTGGCTTGGGTCTGACTGCTGTGCTCAGCTCCTTCCTGCTGCTGCCCTTGGGGGTGAACCTATTGTGCTCCTCTGGCAAGATTTTCTGCTTCTAGACTAGATGCATGGTTCTATCCTCTACACTCTCTGCAGAGATGTCAGCTGCAGGGTTTCACCTGAGGCCTGTATGCCAGGCCTGAGTTGAGCCTGGAGGGGATAAGGTGGAGTACGGGGGAGAGGCAACTGTCCCACACACTCAGCGGGCCTGGGCTAGGCCTGGTTCTGGTGGCTCCCAGAACCCTGAAGAAATTCCTACTTTGCTGGGGAGATGGCTCAATGGAATAAGTGCTTCCCTGGCAAGCACAAGGGCCTAAGTTCAATCCCCGGTTCCACCAAAGTAAATAAATTA